TGACAACGGAAGTATAGCGGGGAAGTGTATGCGTAAGCATCTTTATGAGAAAAATCCCCGCCCGTGGCAAGCCAAATTCTTCAAGAACATTAAGTCCTTTGAGTATAAAACCCTTGTTCATAGCGCCATCACCGAGGAAAAGTTTTGTTATGTGAATTCTGTGACAACGGAAGTATAGCGGGGAAGTGTATGCGTAAGCATCTTTATGAGAAAAATCCCCGCCCATGGCAAGCCAAATTCTTCAAGAACATTAAGTCCTTTGAGTATAAAACCCTTGTTCATAGCGCCCTCACCGAGGAAAAGTTTTGTTATGTGAATTCTGTGACAACGGACGTATAGCGGGGAAGTGTATGCGTAAGCATCTTTATGAGAAAAATCCCCGCCCATGGCAAGCCAAATTCTTCAAGAACATTAAGTCCTTTGAGTATAAAACCCTTGTTCATAGCGCCCTCACCGAGGAATAGTTTGTTATGTGAATTCTGTGACAACGGAAGTAGCGGGGAAAGGACTGAAAATAAACGGTTCATTCTGAAATGGCTACAAGCACAAAGAGTCCTGGGTTTGGATGCTGATTTTATTCGTATATAATACAATACCTGATGGAAAAAACCCTCTTCTGCAGTTTCTACAAAAATATAACCTACATATAAGGATTAGTTTGTCTCCATGTTAGTAATACATCGAGGGCGCCATTCGAGGAAACTGAAAACGGATCCAGGCACGGCTAGGGGTTTAGTTGTCAAGACGGAAGGAGGTTTTAAGCCGGTGTAGCATGAATTGAGGTTTTATGAAAATGACATACGGACTCATTGGTGATATTAAGCATGCTCGATCATAGATAATTAGGAGGGGGACCAGTCACGTGAGAGGGTTTAACCAATAAAAGGGAAAAAGAGTCCGATTTTCATACGAGTCCGATTTTCATATGACACCGGCATGTGCACAAGATTTAAACTTCGAATGTCCCTCGTTGATCTAGGTTAACCTGTCGCCTCTGCAGCCAAGTATAGTCAATTACCTTAATGCGCATGCGTCAGTTGGTAACATAATTGTTCTCGTACTTAACTTTCCTTTTAAAAAACCTCCAGAGCTATGAATCAGAAAAAAGGGTGAACTATATTTCATCGATCAGTAGAACTTGATAATGCACAATTAAAGAAAGAAAACTTACCTCCAGGAAAAAAAAAACATGCAGCAACCGCAACCTGCAGCACTGTGACGCTCGACATAATTATAGTGCTTACCACGCATGCATTTCGCCGGTTTCAAATCACATGACGTATTTATTCAGTCACGTGATATGTTGCACGCATTCGTTTTATTATCTCCGCCTCCGCCAAGGGGGTTATGTTTTCACTGGCGTTGGTTGGTTGGTTGGTTGGTTGGTTTGTCTGTTAACAAGATAACTCAAAAAGTTATGGACGGGTTTGCATGAAAATATTTTTAGGGGTGGCCCTTGGTACAAGTACAAATCGATTCTCCCTCCATGATTAGATTTCGGAAGTGATTCAGATCTTCAAGGGTCTGGATCATCTTCAAGGGTCTGGATCCAGGAATTGTTTTAATGGACTCTTTCACCATTTATGCGAGTATTTCTTTTGGGTGTACTGACAAGCATGTCAATAGACGGCGCCCTTCAACACTCGCGGTCATCGCGCCTTGGTCGTTTCCCACCCGGGTATTTCTCACGCCCCACCACCGAAGGTATGGCGGGGAGTTGCTGTGTTGCAACGAAAGTAGTAATCCACCGAAACTTGCGCTCTCTGAATGCTTTCTAGTTAAGGTAAATGACTTTACTAGCCTGAAGAAGAAAAAATAGCCAGCCGGTCCCCGCGGCGGTAGAGGTCGCTGTCTACAAGATAAATCAAAGCCAGTTTAATCTGCCAAAGATTAAACACAATTCTGTGCTGCAGATCCAGCTGGAAGCTTTAATATTCTTAATGTGCAGTTTCTCCCTGTATAGTACACTCTTCTGTTACGGTCATGAAGTCGTACACGGGATGATCAGGCACAGAATGACTAAAATAAAATGGAAAATAAATATATGTCATAACAAAATATCCAGTGTTTGCGTAGGCTTTTGATTTCAGCAAAATTAGATCAATAATATATACATGCACATGACTAAAGCAATGTTCATGTTTACACAGAAAAAGTCATGTAGGCCTACATCGACATAATTATACGAGTTTACCAACTCTTACCTAAACTCAGTGTTAATGCAGTATTTGCACTCATAGCTATCTTCATTTCAAGAATATTTGGTGTCATGTAAGAAAGGTTTATGCTACACCGTGCAATCTCGACCAACGGTCGGACCTACTAACTTGGGCCCTATACTTATCGCCTTTTTAACATATGGACATGGTCTGTCGATAGTGCCCAAGTTGAATGTCAGACATGGCTTTTCAAACAATTAGCGACCCAGTCATTTGCCAAGAAAAACATCAGATTTCGCCCTCAAAACGGCCACAAAATTACTAAATACACCACCGGCGCCCTCTCTCTGGTGAACTGATCATTTTTCTGGCTTTATTATTATTAAATGTTACGTGCATTTTGTTTACAATGGGGGAAAATACTTCGTGCTTACGATTTTCGATTGTTGTGAATATCCTTCATCAAATTATCTCAACATAATCATCACTTCTTATAACCGTCTGAAAACTCAGCTCTTTTACTTATTATAGAATTTAATGTACAATCTATACACTATTTCACTCAAATTATTACAATATACTATGTGCAAACGGTACCTAACGCAATATCGTTGAGCATAAATAATTTCACAGACGCTCAAATTATACTTTTGAATAATATAAAAAATAAACATTTTGTGCAATATGAATATAAACCACGAAGTGTGTTTATAATTATAGCAATATTCAACACAAAATAAGTTTGCTCCGGTGTAGTGCAAAATTGGGACTCTGTGAAATACGGACTCGCTGTATTGCGCATGTACAGAATCGAGTCACGTGAGAATGTTGTAGTCCATATAAGGTAAAACAGACCAGATTACATAGGAGTTCAAATTTCATATGAAACCGCCCACATTGTTTTCCACACATAAAAACAGTGGGTTTTATAAAGTTTGTACATAATCCAGCGACATCTCCCAGCCCCATCCCCTACAAGTACCCACCTTATAGTTGCCTATACGCCACTGCCACCGCACTTAAGTCTTGTAAAGACTTGGGTTAAGTGATAACTTAAGCCAAATTACTGAGACTATTGTAACTTCTTGGGGGAAATTCAATGTTATACTTTCATGCCACGGTATGATACTACATTATTATGATGACAAATTTACTGATGCAAAACTTTTCTACTTGCGTCAAGCGAATATATCGGCTCAACTTCGTCTGCTGACGTGAACGAACAGATACGTCATGACGTCATAAAGCGTTGTTTTAATAACGTCTAATTAGGGCAGTTAAAGTTAAGAAACTCTCAAATCCCAATGCGTTTGTCACAAGTGATTGGAATTAGGGCCTACTACTATCACATTGTTAATGCTTAAAGACACGTAGAATCATTTACCCTGAAAGGTACCTACCGATGTAACGACAGAAGCCTTACACAAAGTGAACATATAACTGGTATCAAATACCCTGTGGAATTATTCCACACCAGAGATGGTAAACTCAAATTTAAGAAAACTCAAATTTAAGCTATTTCAAATTAGGGTTCCCGCGGGCCGGCACCCTTTTTATGTTTTACGTACGTTACTGGCAACGGAATCTATACACGATACACCCAATATAATGCATATACGTTTTCGTTGTTTTCATATAAAACGTACAAACATCCGCTGAGCTGAAACTTCAACAAGTTAGTTGCTATCGAGCGATTTTGTTGCTTCAAAGGGAAAAATGCACAAATAGCAAATGAAATGATTACGTACCTTTAGGCCTACGCTTGTTTCAAATGCTTTTTACAAATCGAAAAGCACGTGCCGCACGGACGAATTTGAATGCATAAGTCTTCCAACAGATGAAACTGAACTGCAATGAACCTTTTACTAGTGGCTTCAAAGAAGATTTAAATAATGAATGCAACTTTTAATTCCATTCCAATGAACTTATTTGTCGAATACATGCTCTAGGGATGAAGTCAAAATGACTTTTTGGCGACTGCATGCTTCTGTAAGGACGCATTCATTCTCTAATGAAATTGAATTGACCATATTAGATTAACTTTTTGTACTGAACTTTGCCGGGAAAACCTACGATTGGCAGTAAATCACGGTATTATGTAAGTAAAATAAAATATATCGTCATCAATATTGACGATGTTGTGGTCCGTATAAGTTTTGCAGATAAAATATTGTACTATAGTGTGCATTGAAACTCAATTACCAGAAGTACATGTACAACAACAAGGGATTGTTATATCTTCTCCTAATTGACTTTGTACGCGTTAATTTACGTGTGTACCAATATCACCGAAATAAGTTTAACGTTTGAAAGTTTGGCAAATAAGAAAATATAAAATATAAACCAATACAGGGTGCGTCATAACAAAGGAATCCCAAATGGTAGGACCATTTTTTTCTTAATTAAGTTCTGCATGTAGCACTTTCAATGTCTAGGATCATGAAAGCTCAATTAATAAGCTTTCTTTTAGTACAAGAATCATTCAAATCACTTATGTACTCTTTAAGCTACGGAATTTTAAACACAACCACCGTTTTAAAGTTCTGTCCACGGATCACAAAAAAAGCGATGTGTGTTCTTTCAGCAACACGAAAACAATTTACACACTTCCCTACGTTTTGCTGAAAGAACACTTACCTTTTTTTGTGATCCGTGAACAGAACTGTAAAATTGTGGTTGTGTTTAAAATTCTGTAACTTGAAAAGTACTTAATTGAGTTGAATGATTCTTGTACTAGAAGTCAAGAAAGCTTATTAATTGGGCTTTCATATCTTAGATTTTGAAAGTGCTACATGCAGAACCTCATTAAGAAAATTGGTCCTGCCATTTGGGTTTCCTTTATTTTTTTACCGGCTCTGTACATTATTGGTGTAATTATAAAAACAAAAGAGGAGGGTGGATAATTGGATGGGAATTAAGGGACGAACGGATCTTTACTAGACAAACGGATCAAGGAGTGAAGGAATGACGGGGGAGTACTCGCAGGTTCAGGCAGGATCTGTTGACGAGCCACCCGATGGATGGACGGCAGTAGGCCCCTGACACCGTCTACAACAAATCTTGGACAGCGCTTCACGAAACGGCCGGAGTCGCAAGGAGTAGAGCAGCGGGTTGACGGCGCTGTTCATATACGTCAGGGTGCTCAGAATGACTCGGGTCTGAAATGTCGGGTAGTACGTCGGGTCGTAGATCTGCCTCAGGAGCATGCAGGTGGTCGGTATCCAGGCTGCTGCGGTCGTACCAAGCACCATGGTCAGCTTCTTGATCACCTTCAACTCCCGCCGGAGCCACTTCTTGCCTCGGCCGGCCTCCTCGCCTTCGGCTCCGGCCGGTATCTGGTCAGATTCTGCCCGGAGTTTCTCCCAGACTACCGCGAGGATCTTACCGTACATGACAAACATCACCAGGAAAGGCGCCAGGCCGTTCACGTAGCACTGAAACTGAAGGTGCGCGATGTTGAAGACGTCTTTGAAGTCGAAACACACGAAGGACTGGTCCTTGATGCCGTTGACGCCGACAAAAGGCAGTAAGAACGTGGTGATGAATGTGTAGCTCCAGACGAACGCCAAGATGCCACAAGCCCAGGCTGAGGTCATGTAATGATGCAGGGGGTAGACTATCTTGAGATACCGGTCTAGACTCAGAGCAAGAAGGGAGAACGCACTGGCGGTTGATGAGAACATTATGGAGCACCACAGCAACAGACAAGCGTACTTGTTACTGGCTCGGGTGGGATTTAGAGTGATATCTACCCCTGGTATCAAGGCAACAGACAACAACCCATCTGCAACTGCCATGCTCACAATGAACGAGTTCTCCAAATTCTGCAGGGTCTTGAAATAGGCGACCAGGACCAGCACCGTAGCGTTGGTGAAGAAAATGACGAAAATCAGCAGGAACTGGGTGGTGATGGAGAACTGGAGCCAGCCGGTGATATCCGGATAGGACGGGACCAATCCGGTCGGCTCCGCCCAAGTGCAGTTTCCTGCGCCAGTGCTGTCGCTGCAATTGTCGACCATTTCGCCGGCAGAGAAATTCATGTTTTTTATTTGAGTATCCAATCTGAGATAAGACAATGAGGAAAAACACAAGAAGGTGTCGGTCTTGGTTTAAACTATTTATTGATTGGTTTCAGGTTTTCCGGCACAATCAAATTGGCATTGAAAATCATTTTGATGTTTTCTTGTTTTCAAATTCCTAAAATGTTCTTTCACTTCTAAAAATCGATCATTCATTTTTGACTGAATTTGAGAATCACTATGAATACGCGTTTCATTTTCGCTACCAGAGCATTCGATTCCATTTCAGTTCAATCAATGAAGTGATTAAGCAGCACCTTTCGTATGCTTTTTCAGATTCGTTTACAATACTTCCTTTTCGCTTTTAGAGAGGGCGATTTCAAACACTGGTCATTCTATTTCACTTTTAGTTTAATGGTGTGTGATGTAATCTGCTATTTTGAATGAGAAAAACGTACTTTTGATTGCACATTCACGAAATTGTATGCCAGAACTCTGCGCGAAAAGGTATGCTTGCGTAAAGATTGTACATGCAGGTATAGGCCTAACGTATTTGGCCGTCTGTTTCTCAAAACCGAATGCACAGACAATGAAAACGATTGAAATTTCATTGAATTGAAATGGGATTAAAGACGTGCATTAAAATTCAGACGAAAATAAATAACCGATTTTCAGAAATAATGAACATTTTAGGAAATTGGCCAGGAAAACCTATATTACTAACTATGTGCCATAACAAATTTCAAAAAATGCACCTAACAGTGAGTCAAGACAATATAACAAACACTATCCGCCATTTTGAATGCATGTCTCATAATTACCGCACCTTGTTGCACTCCCGGAGCTCATTCAGTGCATCAATAACACCCTTAAACAATTATACATAACAGGACCATGCACGCATGCTCAATGCGCTCGAAACAATCCATAAGCATCCTAAATATGTCAAGAATTGACGTCATCCCCTTTTCAGAGCAAAAATACTGTTAATTTCACATACATTGTCGGTTTTCGATGATTTTCCCACTGAAAGTTCCTTTCGTGAATCCGTCAGCCATATTGGAAGTGATGTCAATGATTGATCAAAGATATAGGGCGCTACTAATTACATCTGAAGGGCCAAGGGTATAGTCAGCTAGGCACTAATCATTCATGCGTCCCATATTACTTGCAGTCCCATATTACCTGCAAGTATCCTAATAAAAGACGATTGATCGTTATTATCTTAGGAGAACCAGTTTACGCGTGGCTCATTTTATTCATTTATTCTAGGTTTAAAACCATGAATTTATTTATTATAGGGCCTACAATCCCGGCAAAAATGGTTGGGACACGTCCACCCAATCAGCATACCCTTCCCCGGTCCCCCGCTTCCCCGGTCCGATGTTGTCATCTCGCGCTTGAGCAGAGACCGCGCAATTAGAGACAACATTGGCCGGGGGCCGGGGGTGGGGGCCCCGGCGAGTTTTTGCCGGGATTGTAGGTTTTCCGGCCAAATCAAATTGGCATTTAGAGTCATTTTGATGGTTTTTTTTTTTTTTGTTAAAGATGTACTGTCCGTTTTTTTTTTTTTAGACTTTTACCGCAAAAAATAGATATATTTTCTGAATTGCTATTTTACTACGAAAGTAAATATAGGTTTTCCCGGCCAATTTCCTAAAATGTTCATTCACTTCTAAAAATCGGTCATTCATTTTCGTCTGAATTTTAATGCACGTCTTTAATCCCATTTCAATTCAACGCTACCAGAGCATTCGATTCCATTTCAGTTCAATCAATTAAGTGATTGAGCAACACATTTCGTTTATGCTCATTCAGATTCGTTTACAAGACTTCCTTTTCGCTTTTATAGAGGGCGATTTCAAACATTGGTCATTCTATTTCACTTTTAGTTTAAAGTTATGTGATGCAATCCGCTATTTTGAATGAGAAAAACGTACTTTTGATTGCACATTCACGAAATTGTATGCCAGAACTCTGCGCGAAAACGTATGCTTGCGTAAATGAATGCACAGGTAACGTAATTGGCCGTCGTTTCTCAAAACCGAATGCACGGACAATGAAAACGATTGAACTTTCGTTGAATTGAAATGGGATTAAAGACGTGCATTAAATTCAGACGAAAATGAAAGAACGATTTTCAGAAGTGAATGAACATTTTAGGAAATTGGCCGGGAAAGCCTATATAACAAAAATCGACGCGATCCATCAAATTTATTCATGGAATGATTACTGTACCAAATAAAAAGCCCGAATTATTTGCGGTCAAACAAATTTGAAGCAAATACAAGTTTTGTCATTCTTTTCAGAGATGCACATAGGCCTACGTCAATCATGTTCGCCTAATTGCCGGGATTGTTTATTCTATTTTTACTGTTGCCTACAGGCAAGCAATTATGCACAACAGGAATTCGAAACGCACGAGAGATGTTCATTTATAATACAACTGCGGGATACAGAGTTTATTGTACCGAATGGCTGTTTTTCCCCTATCTATTTATCGATACTGCTTTTATCTGTTTATACTCCATTATCTGTTATATTCTTCCTGCCCTTTTTGTGTGTATTTGAATTCGATGCACATTAAAAAAAAGAAAGAGGTATAGCACAATACAGGGTGAGTACAAAAAAAGGAAAACCGAACTGGCAGGACCAAGTATTTAATGAAGTTCTGCATATAGCACTTTCACAAACTAGGATATGAAAGCCTAATTAATAATGTGTTCCTTCAGCAAAACGAAAACAATTCACATAGGGATGTAGGCCTATGTGAATTGTTTTCGTTTTAGCTGAAAGAAAACTTAGCGTTTTGTTCGTGATCCGTGGACAGAACTTAAAACGGTGTTTGTGTTTAAAATTCCGTAACTTGAAAAGTACGCGAGTGATTTGAACGATTCTTGTACTAAAAGAAAGCTTATTAATTGGGCTTTCATATCCTAGATTTTGAAAGTGCTACATTTAGAACTTCATCAAAAAATGGTCCTGACATTTGATTTTCCTTTTTTCTGACTCGCCCTGTTTATAGCAGCGCGTCTGCATGCTCTCGAATAAGGTTTGAATGAGAAAATGAACGCTAATCAGAATACATTTAGTGTGAAATCGGTTGGCCCCGCGTCAAATTCGTTATTTAAAATTTTCCTGTGAAGTCTAGTTTCAATTTGCTGGAACGAGTATTACAAAAACTTGAATTGAATGACTAATACAAATTTGGGGCTGTATGACGAGTTTGACCGGTAAAATTTATACTTTTACATCTTATTATTTTTTTGGTAAAAAAAAAGTTCGCTTCAGCCTCAGGTTTTGAAGTGAAAAATAAACAGAACACAATCTTTGCAATATTGTTCTACCACATGTATGTCTGCGTCACTTGACGAGTGAAAACACTGATAAAAATTACTGATATTATAGCTTCCAAGTTTCCAAATTTATTGGCTACTTAAATGATGGTTTTACGAAAAACCATGTATTGAGAGCATTCTTTTTGAAAAAGTTCATCTTCATCGGTGCTTGCAATCCAATATAATAAGTATTTTTTAATCATGTGCTTTGGTTTTAAAAATAAATGTTTTTCTTTAAAATTCTCATAATTTTACTTAAAACCACCGGGTTTTGAGAAAAATTGTGAGTCTTTCTTAGGCTTACCTGTAGCCAGAGGGACGGCGTGGATGAAGATGGCACAGGTTCAATGAGCTTGCTTGAAGATGTTTCCCGTTCGCGTGACGCCTGTGTTAATGGAAGCAGCAAAATTCTTATCCAACAGAAATGAGGGAAAATTGTATTAGACCTTTCGTGAGTAAAAACGTTAACCGAGCTCTGATTGGCTGCTGTATTTTTTGACAGATGTTGCCTTGACCAATGGGAATCTATAATGACGGTTGCGGGTGGTTTTTGATGAGAAAAAAATCCCCGCCCACCGGGCAAGCCAAATTCTTCAAGCACATCAACACTTTTGTATAAAACCCTTGTTCATAGCGCCCTCACCGAGGAAAAGTTTTGTTCAGTGACAATTCCGTATTACTTAGACCTTCACAATTCATTTTCTTCACAATCTTTGAAACGTGACTTGAAAACAGTATCAAGCAAACATTTGGGTAAACTCCGGACGAAAGTACAACAACTTTAAGTTTGCTGCTACCACAATGCTGCAGACTTATATGACTCGTGACTCGGACTCGGACTCGAGTCCGACTCGAGTCACATTTTTAGTGACTCGGACTCGGACTCGAGTCACTTTGACTTACGACTCGGACTCGGACTCGGACTCGGGGCTACGGACTCGGACTTGGACTCGAATTGACTTGTGACTCGACGGAAATTACCGCACTGCACACGCACACATACGTAGAAGTCTAACAAAAGATATTTGAAACACCTGAACTTTAAATGCATAAGTTAGGCCAATACCAGTTTTGTCTGAATTGCCTTTATAACTGTTTTTGCAAATGAACTCCTTATTTCCAGAGAAAATTCCAGAGAAAAGCTGTGGGAAAAAATGGAAATTTACAGGACCTGAAATGTACGTATTTCCAATACTATATCAAAGGTGACTCTGCATCTCTGAATTCCATAAAATGTACGTTTTTCCAATATAATGTTAGAGGTGACTCGTGACTCGGACTTGGACTCGACCTTTGTGACTCGTGACTCGGACTCGACCTGGAGGACTCGGGACTCGGACTTGGACTCGAGAAATGTGACTCGGACTCGGACTTGGACTCGATGTTTCATGACTCGAATACAAGTCTGCAATGCTGTGACGAGAACCTCAGCATAAGCACGGAGAAGTTTGTTGTGTTTTTCTTAACTTGATCAGCCTTCATAATAATATCTCCTATACTAAACTCTACGGCATCAAGGGAATTTTATATAATACGCAGTCGCCATTGTCATGGCAGCCGTCTGCGTAATTACAAATCCTCGGCAGAAACACAGAGCCGAGCCTTTCAAAAGCACAATTCGCACGCAAAAAGTCCTGACAAAGAAATTCAACAAAAAGTCCTTCCGAGCCACAATTAACTGCCGTTTCGCCGAAGAAAACCCAATCAAATCTCGGAGTAATCTACGACGTTTGCTGGAGCCCGCTCTTTTAATGAAATAGCGATAAGCTGCTGAGCAAGACTTTCAGTGGAGATCAATGACCTTCTTAT